AGTCGCCGAAAGGAAGAAAATCCCACTACTCGCTTAAGGATTATCAAAAACCCACAGAACAAAGTGCCATATCAGTATTTCCTTGATTTTTTCAATAAAAGCTTCAATACTTCTTTTGGATACCCCCGCAAAGAAAGTTGTAGTCTCTGTGGCTCTTTAAAGGCAGAAATTTACGCCCTTACGAAAAAAATGGAATCACGGACTAAAAATGATTATTGTGTGTTGTGAAGCAAAAGTCATATACTGCAACTCCCGACGTTTCTAGAGAGGTGCGCGTGTGAAACCTGTTTCTTTTGAGGTCATCGGCTGCGGTAAAGACTTTAAAATACCCGATCTAGTTGTCGAAAACTGGATTGACTATTTATAGTCAATTTATCCAGCAATTCCCACCAGACCGATTCGAATGCTTCAAATCTCCGTGGCAAATAGGCAATTAATTTACCACAAATCGACATACTTTGGGACCCACTATTCTCCAAATGAAAAATTGCAACCGAAAAGGGCTAATAAAAAAACATCTCAAAATTCCAAATTTTTGGAAAGCCCAGTAAAGGTGTTTTATCAAAACCTAACCCCCACTGACTTTCTTGTCGAAGCGATTCCTATTTCTGCGACCCACCTATTGACGGAGTTTAGAAGAATTTAGTTAGTCGTTTTATTTGGATTGTTTCTATAAATATCGGACTGGTTGCGTTGAGACATATATTTTGTTGTACCTATCTGTTTAAATAAAAAATATATATTATTCGCTTGATTTTAACTGGTAAACCTTAAAATCGATTGTTCTAAAAATCATTGTAAAGTACACGTAACTAGTCGCTATTTCATCAGGGACGACTTTTAAGGTGTTTTGAAAATATAAGGATTGAAAATTATATTAGGTTTATTTAAGTATAACAAAATCACATTAGTACAAATATAAAATACGATGACACTAAATATACCTATATTAATTGTCAATAATAACCAAAATAAGTACGTTTTTATTCGAAATTACACTCTGTTTCACTCTCAGAGTCGTTATAAAGATTAACTACATGAATAAATAAATTATTGGTTATTGGTGGTAAATATTTTTTAGGAGACGGTCTCTCAAAAGACAAGACGATATACTTTGAGACACACTTTACCTTATGTCCTAATCCTGTTTCCAAAGAACTGTTCGACCTGGAGAGATTTGGCAATGCTAGATTTTTCTTCATTTAGGAGCCGGTAAATTGTTGATTTTGCACCACCAAGCATCTCTACAGTGCATGTCACATTATAATCAACACACGAGATGTGTTTTTGCTTTTAACCCCATCATAACAATTAAGAATCTTTTTTCTTTCAAGATAATGCACGTCTACGGTGGCACCCGTTTTCCATGATTTATTGCTTGCTGTCTTTAAAAAGTAGACTATTCTTTGCACCCGGAGAAACGATGCAATTATAGTGTCATTTAGACGAGAAAGTTTTTGAATATTTTTTAACATAACTAAGTACCTATATAATTAGTAAATTATCAAATTTCGCAAAGGCAGAGAGTTTAACTGGTTGAACGTCGCATTAAAAAAAGTCTTCTATGTAATTGGCGGCCAGGGCAGTGCGTCATTTTCACGAAGAAATTCTAAACAGCATTAATGATTTATGTCAATTGTAAAAGAAAGGAAATCTAAAACCATTCATAAGAGGTGACAAATATTGAAAGAAGTGAGACAAAAATGCGTTTACTTATGTTTTTATTCAGAAAAAACCGCATAGTTGTTCGGTGATCATACTGATAGATAAAGACAAAGAAAACGATGGTCTAACCAAATTCCAAATTCGTACAAAATTTGAACTTGTTTATAGTTGTTCCTGATTTTGCAGGAAAAGTTATGTCGGTTCAAGACAAACACTACAACTGTTATATTAGATTTGAAAGTGTGTAGGATTTTCTTTCTTTTGACACCATATATAATCAAAACAATATTTTGCGATTAGAAGGAAATTGCTAACTTAAATACATAATTTATTACTTTTTTCCACGTACATATTAAGAAAAGTTATTTAGAATTTTGGGAAATCCTTTAGGAAAATTTTCTTTTTGTTTGTTTTTCGTCAGAATATTTTTGGCTTGACTTGTTTTTTGAGATCTGAAAAATGCTATAATCAGATTTCGAGTAGCCCCTGCAGTTATTGAACAAAGAGGGAAAATTGAAAAATTACCGACTTAAAATATGTTCCCGTAACTTCTTTAATGTGAAAGAGGTTTTGATTATATACAAACATTATCATTGCAACTTAATAAAACTTAATAAAATGAAAACAGAATAAACTGCTGAATGCTCGAAGCTAGTAACCAGAAATTGTCAACCATTTTCACATACTTACTCTACATTTATAGACGTTTTATAGACACAATGCGCATTTCTTTAAAACCATTTTATAAAAATGTGGAACGGCCTACTAAGCGGCCCTGTTAAAACCGTTAAACCGTTCTAAAGGGCCAAGATGCAATCCACAAAATGACGTCAGTAGCTAACCACCAAATGACGAAAATGACGTTACATATGACGTCAGTGGGACGTGAATTTGACCTACTAATGCCTCAGACGAATAATGTCAGTGATGTCCTTTTTACGCCAATTAGTGTCGTCCGTGCTTGTCATTTAAGTTGCATCTTTTTTACGTCAATTTTTCAATAAATATAACGATTTTTAAATTGGTTTTTCTTTTTGGAGTGGGGGAAGTCGAAAGTAAATCACACAGAAACTGCGGCTTTAATTACATAGAACGCCTTTTGCGGTTGCAGAACCTTATAGCTAATGAATAAAGATGCGCCTTTTCTTTAAAGTATTATATATAATGAAAGTGTAATAATTGTAATATACAGGGTGTTGTTGGCATAATAAAGTTACGGTCCTCCGAAACGGCGTCAAAAATATAGGGTATTAAACACAGGGCATTTTTGAAAAAAAAACCATAAATCGGAAAACACTTAGTATAGACCATAACAACTCTACATTGGGTGAGAGTATAAAAGGGTGTTCCATTAAAAAATTATGTTTGATTTCCCACATATTTATCAATCAAAATTATTTGAAATTTTTTCTTTTGTTATTTATACCTTTTGTATTTAACATTTTTCTCTAAAACAAATAATAAACGAGATATATTAATGACACACTATTTTGACGATATTCGGAGGTCATTTTTGTGAAATTAATAAGACATCTTTTTTTGGCGTCAGTTTGACGTATTTTTCGGACCACCGACGAATAGCGACCACTTATGACTCGAAAATGAAGTTATTTTGACGAGCCTCTGCTACTTGGATTAGTTTAATCATAAAACAAATTAAGAGTTAGCGCTAACATGGTTTACTCATAACAGAATTTTTTTTTAATGAAAGGACTTTACGAACAAGCAATTAAAGGTAATAATATCGATATTGACATATGGAATGGAATAATTTTTATAATAGTATTTTACTATTAAATTAAACTAATTTTAATTTTTATAATATGTAATATATATTTCACATTATTATACAGAAAAACGATTTTGCTTAACTCGCCTCAACAATTTTTTAATGCTAAAAGAGATAATTCCGACTTGCCTAAATTAAGTTTGTAAATGGTTGGCATTTATTTTCGAAGGTTTTTTGAAGAATTTTTATTAAATTTAAATTAAAATTTTATCAATTAAATTAGTAAATTTAAGAAAAAATCTAGTCAATGCCTTTTTGAAAATGTAACTCCTAAAAAACATAATACAAAAATATTTTTGTTCTAACCCGATAATATAAATGATACAACAATAATAAAATTACACAATAATTAATGAATTCCAGGTATATCTCGATATTATTGTATAAATATTAGATATTTTTTTAATATGAAATATTTCACCAGATAAACAATAACATGGAAAATCAAGGTTTAGAAAAGTTTTGTTTAGTTGCTATTACAAAAAGGTTTTTGTTTTGTTTTGGAGAAATTATTTAAAATAGTGAAGAATCCCGAGTTTATTCCAGCACAGAATTGTGGATTTATTTAATACCAAGTTAATATGCGGTAACGATTATTATGAACATTATCTATCGGTGGTAACTGCATGATGGGCGAAGTACGTACCTGACTGACATGAAATTTCAAAATAAATATTTAGAGATAAAATTTATTAAAAAAATTTAACCTTCCTTTTTTCGACAAGCGCCATCTATTAACCAATATTCAAACGCAAAGCTTAAAATTAGAACAAATTTCTTTTTCATTGCGAATGACGTTAGAGTGACATTAGACACGATCAACCGGTAAAGTATCTTTTTTGTGTTCAGTGATGTGATTGACACTTTTAGAAATAAAATTCTTTATATTACTGTTAAATAAGTGTTCAAAATATTCAGGTAAGCGGTAGGGCGTATGGAAGCGTCATGGGTGATTTTTTAAACACTAATGTTTTGATATCAATAAGCTACATTTGTGAAATTTGGGAACACGGCGCGGCCATAAGGCTGTAGGTCAGGATTTTCTGTCACAACATTTAATTTTCCTGCTCGTTTAATGCACGTGGATGCAATTGTATGTGGATTTATGCCATGTGCATAACAGTAACCCCTTTAACAAAAGTCGCAATTGTTGTTTTAAGAAGATATTTTTTGCTACGTTATATGGTCAAGAGAGCCGTTTTATTTCTGCAAAATTATGTCCCAGCAAGGAATTTCCAAGTTGACTAGTTAGTGAAAGTATGTAAATAAACTAATGAGATTAGTTGAATAAAAAGATATGAACATAAATGCTTCATCAAGATCGGGAGTCCTAACCTAACCTCACTTATCAGTTTTGAGAAAAGCCTATCTTTAGAACATCACCAATTGTCAAAGTATGTTGAATTCACAAATACTCACGTACACATGTAATTCACTGGGAAAATGATTTTGCAGGTTCACCTTCAGTTATATTAATAGAATACACCTCAGAGAACTTTATTTCTATACTTTAAGTTGAGTGGTATAATAATCAAATTTATGGAGGTATTATGGCCTAGGAATGAGTTTATTTTCATTGGTAACTTGTGGTGTGGATTTACCTACCTTTTGCATGGTGTACATTAAAAAATGGATTTATTTGCTTAAAATTTAAATAGTTCAAAGCCTAACCTTAAAGGTATGAAATGTACTTATTGGTTGTTCCCTTGTACCTATATATTTTCCTTGTTGATGGCAGAAATATTTTGTAATTATTAAGATAATGATGTCTTGGCTTCGCCTACAAACAAGTTTGATAATTCAAAATGTTGAAACATCCATATGCGTCAACAAATTATATTGTTTTGTCACAAATTTGCAACTGATAAAATTTTAATAACAATCTTGATTGTGAAATCTTTGTGGCAAGTGGTCGATACTTTTCTTAACTGATATGTTTGTGGGGGGTCATTAATAGATAAGTGATTGTACTTCTTGATCACTTGCTTTAAATGATTTATGGTTTTGAAAAAATAATTGAATTTTGATGCATATTTGGTAATTTGCCTTCGCAATCAACTTATAGGGGTCAACATTTCTCTGTATATTATAAACCTGTCTATTTTTCTGATATCCAGTGTTGTTGGAGCAGAGCAATGCACAATATTAATCCAGACGGACAGTACATGAATGCAAATGGGGCTCCGAACCCCGAGAAAGTGTGTATATTGGATGCCGGAGCTCAGTATGGGAAGGTAAATAAATGTTACTCTTTCAACAGCATATTTAGCAAAATTTTGTTTTAGGTGATTGATAGAAAAATAAGAGAATTATCAGTAGAATCTCATATTTTGCCACTTGATACTCCGGCATTTAATATCAAAGAAGCAGGCTATAAAGCTATTATTATCTCAGGAGGTCCCAGTTCTGTGTATGCGGAAGATGCACCCAGATATGATGCTGATATCTTTAGGATAGGGGTGCCAGTTTTAGGTTGGTACTTTCAATAGCCAAACAGGAATAACTTTTTCTGGCATTGTGATTTAAATACTTTTAGGAATATGTTATGGGATGCAAATGTTGAATAAAGAGTTTGGAGGCACAGTTCAACGGAAAGAAAGCAGGGAGGATGGTCAATTCACAATAGAAATCGACACAAAATGTCTCCTATTTAAGTAAGTTTAATGTTTGAATTTTGTTTAGATTATGGAGAATTAAGAAAGCAATTTGTGACTCTTTTGTAACAAATTGTTGATACACTTCTCCTAGAGCAGTATCTATAGAACAACTTTGTTCTCTTAAGTCTAAAGACAAAGCTACACTATGGATTACAATTTTTTATTTTTAGCTTGCCACTTATTTTATAAACTTTCTTCTTTTAGAGGCCTGGATAAAAAGCAGGAAGTTCTTTTAACTCATGGAGATTCAATTGAAAAAATAGCAGACAATTTTCGATCGATAGCACAGTCCCAGGCTTTCTGTGCCGGTATTTATAATGAAAAGATGCATTTGTATGGTGTTCAGTTTCACCCTGAAGTAGACTTAACTCCAAATGGCAAAACAATTTTCAGAAACTTTTTGTTTGACATTTGTGGTTTGACAGGAAATTTTACAATAGCTGGTAGGGAGTTGGAATGCATTAAATACATCAAGGAGACTGTTGGGAACAATAAAGTGAGTCCAAGACAGTTTTTTTTCTGGTTAATTTTTTTTTATGGAAAAGTAGGAAAGCACATTCTTTTCATAATCTAAGAATATTGCTAATACTGTCTTCCTAAAGTAAACATTCATGAGTGTGTCACTTTAATTTGGTAAGGGTTAACAATTTTAAAGTATTGTCGTGAAGTACATTTTCATACTCTTTCCAATATGTTCTAAATAATATCAAAAATTAAAAAATGCAAAAGTTTGAAGGGACAAATTTAATCGTTGCTTTCAATCTATTTAGGTGCTTCTTCTTGTCAGCGGTGGTGTAGATAGTACTGTATGTGCCGCTTTGCTGTATAAAGCTTTAAAGCCCGAGCAGATTATCGCCATTCACATTGATAATGGTTTCATGCGAAAAAATGAGAGCTCCAAGGTGCAGACCTCATTGCAGAAAGTGGGCTTAAGTTTGACGGTCATCAATGCTGCCGCAAAGTTTTCTGAAGGCAGCACGGTAGTGCCAATCGATAAAGACGGTTAGTCATTGAAGTGGTTTTGGTGTTCCTTCAAAGATAATCATATTCTTTGTAGATAAAGTTAATAATGTATTAGTAGGCAATCCAAGAACACAGGTTACCAAAATGTTGTGTCATACGACTAATCCGGAAGAAAAGCGGAAAATTATAGGAGATATTTTTGTTAAAATATCAGATGAAATTATAGCGGATCTGAAACTAAATCCCGAAGAGGTGTTTTTAGGACAAGGAACCTTGCGGTACTTAAAAAGTATTGCAACAACAATTTTTTAACTTTAATTTTTCAGACCTGATCTTATCGAATCTGCATCCTCTTTGGCTTCAGGGAAGGCAGACACTATAAAAACTCATCATAATGATTCGGCACTGATAAGAAAATTAAGAGAGGAGGGCAGAGTGGTAGAGCCTTTAAAAGATTTTCACAAGGACGAAGTAAGTATTTTACATAACGGGCAGCATTAAGATCGATTTGAAATTTGATTGTAGGTAAGGTCAATAGGGAAGGACTTGGGACTGCCTCCCGACCTTGTTATGAGACATCCATTTCCGGGACCGGGTTTGGCCATTAGGGTATTGTGTGCGGATGAGCCTTACATGGAAAGGGATTTTTCTGAGACTCAGGTGCTAGTCAAAATTTTAGTAGAGTTCGAACAGATGTTGCAAAAGAAACACGCATTACTCAACAGGGTGGAGAGCGTGACTACTGATGAAGAGAAGTGAGTTGGTCGTTTCTATTTGTTTGATGAGATTTATTTTGAACTAGCAACCTACCATTGCTTTTTTAATAGGCTGTTGATATTCATCTCCTCAAGCAATATATACAGAACAACTTTGTTTCATCAAGCCTAAGGATGCGGTTACACTGTAGATCACAAGTATTTACTATTTGAAATTTGCTTAAGATTTGATTTATTGATATTGAAGGAATGATAATTAGGGTTTGCATTGTAGGCGTCAATTACTTAACTTATGTTTGAACATTTCTTGAGTTTTATCCTAAATTCACAGAGACCACCCTCTTGGTTAGTTTTGAGTAAGTGATGAACCTTGAGCTTATAAACTATTAAAGTGACAGAAATTAGGATTAATATAACGACCCAAAAATTAACTCTCCTTTTTACAGATCCCTAAAACAATCTCAGCCTGAGTCACTGAACCCAGAATTAAAACACCTTACCTCTGCTCTTCTCTCTAATAATTTCCACATTAAGGATATTAATTGTTCCATCGCAAAATACACACACACCTTTTAATAACAATGACTCTGAAGGCAATCCCACACGTGCCACTGTTGTCCTTCCTTACATTCAAAACATCACGTTCTAAAGAAATATAACGTCAAAACCAGATTTACCACTTAAACGTAAACGTTAGCAAGTTCGAATCAACACAGTGCGCATGTAGTGAAACCGGGAATTTTTTAGGGCGATTCTTCGACGGATATCTTCGAAACAACGTTTAGCTGCCACCCTGCTGCCTATTCGGTCAGTGGGAGTGCAAGGGGATAGGCGCAGCTACTCGTATGTCGTAGGTATATCCACGGAACGAGAGCCCGATTGGTCGGACATAATTTTCTTGGCTCGTCTCATGCCGCGCGTCTGTCGTAACGTCAATCGAGTCTGTTATGTATTTGGGAGCATAGTTAAGGAACCTCTACCGGACGTTACTCCCACTTTTTTGACCAGTAACGTGCTAGCCACACTGAGGCAATGCGACGATGTGGCAAATACGGTATATTGTGATGATCTTTTGCCGGTGTTTGAATTGGTCGATTGTATTTGCGTTGTTTAGGTTCTGCAGAACAGTGGATATGTTAGCTCAGTAAGTCAGATGCCTGTGATCCTAATCCCTCTACATTTCGACCGAGACCAAGCGACGAGAACGCCCTCTTGTCAGCGCTCAGTCGTTCTTAGGCCATTCTGTACACAAGATTTCATGACTGGAAGTCCGGCCATTCCCGGAAAACAACTACCCATGGATGTGAGTTTTCAGCGTCCAACCAATGGCGTCCTTGTCTAATTATCCTTTAAACTTTTAGGTTATATTAAGGATGGTCCAGGAGGTAGAGAAAGTGCCGGGCATATCGAGAGTGCTGTATGATATGACCTCGAAACCGCCAGGAACCACGGAGTGGGAATGATGAAAACCGCAACGCCAGCGACCTCCGACAGCAGTTTTGTTATATAAAATATTAATTGTAATATTATTTGTTAGAACAGAAAGCATGGTTGCACTTACACAGAAGGTTAAAACCGGCCGACCACTCACGCCCATTGGCAATTTATTGTTTTTCTTTTTTCTTCGTTCTAATTGATTGTTAGGTACTTTATACAAGTCATTTCATTTTTTTGTCGATTGGGTAAGTTATAATTTACTTTTTTTTATCGTTTTTGGTTGATACTTTTTCAATTTACTATGATTTTTAAGTGGCGCATCTGGAAGAAGCCTACATAAATCCGACATGTCAGGTTAAGTGCACCTTATCATATGGGCCGAAATTTGTTATGTACATTTTGTTTTGTTGAAAGTATTTTTTTAATCTTCGTCTGTGTATATTGTTTTAATGGTTCGAGTTTCAGTCGATTCATCGAGATTAGTTTTACTCTCTTTCAAGGGAAGAATTTTAATATCGATTCATTGTAATTTATATTTTTGTCATTGATTGCTCCTTGCAAATAAACATTTAAATAAGATTGCCGCTATTTTATCACAGTCCGATATTTTCCTTTTCTGCTGTTTTATTTGATGATATTAATACAAAACATATTTGTTATAATGTAGAGCCGTTCGTAGGAACACTTACACGTGCGCCTCTAGCGGTAACACGTCTAAAAACAACGTTTCCAGTAGTTTTAACTCTATCTGCCTCTATTATGCTTGCTCCTTTTCGAAATTTGAACGGCTATATTATGTAATTCTGTATTATGAAACTGAAGAATACCTTAAAGGGACCAAGTTAAAAAGATCAAATCAGACTAAGTCGTAATTTTTGAGCTACTGGGTGCCAAATTTAAAAAGAAAACTTATTATAATTTCCTGTCAATTTATACATTTTTTCGAAATTGAACTGTAAACGAACATCTTTGAAGAGAAAAATGTCACCCCACTGCTTTTCTTTCATTTTTGGAGCAAATTGGATCCTTTAGCGGGTACAGATGCACGGTTTTCTAGTAAAAAAAAAACAAACAAAATGTGTTTTCTTAATAAACTCATCAAACCCGCTTTTCATGCGACAAAGCATTTTTTGGACAAAAATTAATTTTCTACCTTTGGCGGTGAGGTCCAAGTAAGCAGGCGTGCCACTGAGCATCTATGAAGAAAAAATATGTATTTTTGTTATTAGATCGCCACTGTATTGATTAAATCGAGAACTTTTTGTGAAAAATAAAATATCTATCTAAAACAAAATATCTAGTTTTTAGTTACCAACTAGTGTCCTTCAGAAAAAAAAAATAGAAAACTTTTCTTTTTACTTTTACCGTTTTAATGAAATAACGTAACATCCTAACAAGATAAATAATAAATAATTCTTATTTAAAAAAAAGGGTTTCTACTCTTAATAATTTTTAACCAAATGGTTAATAAATTAATAACAAACTTTTTGAAAACAAAAGTAGAACATACAGGATACAGGCTTCAGCTCTTTTCCTCATATTACCGCGCATTCTTTGAAGTAAATCTCTCCTGTGTTTGTTATTAAATCGCAGGAGCTCTTGTGCGATCCTTCAGCTCTACTACAGATAGACAATTGCTTTTAAAGAATTAATAATGATAAGAATTCTCTGCATGATGTCATATTTGGCATACGTGTGAAGTGGTACTAGAGATATTAAAAAATATATTTTTAAGAACCATCCTGTAACTCAAAAGTTAAGACGTGTAGGACATATGTTCATATAAAGTTTTCTTTTTAAAATTGACCGAAAAATCGCCCCCTCTAGCGGTATAACTTCTAATTTACGTAAGAGTTGCTCCTTTGCGTAATTTAAACTGCTAGATTACGTAACTATCCACTAAGAAACAGAAAGACACCCAAGGGACAAAATCAAAAAGACGTACCATAACTAAGTGTAAAATATAATGCTGACATTACGAAGTATGTAAGTACATATCAGCGTCGGTCGTAGTGAAAAACGTTTCGCAATTCTTCCTAATGTCTCAATATCAGACATATGTATGAATATAGTGCTCGAAATATCTGAAACATATTTTTTTCAATTTCTTAAATATAGTGAAATTGAATAGTTTACAAAATTTGTCAGGTTCTTGAAAAGTGGTCGAACGGATCTGATTGAATTAGAATAAATTTTTTACCAATACTTTTGAAATCACTTTAAGTTTTATAAGATCCTTAAAAGATTGTAAGCAATTTATTATTTAATAAAATATTTTGGTTATTAATATATTTTTTGAGATTTTAAAAAACTATTGCATAATGTGCGAAAAGGACAAGTCGGTAAATTCAATGTGCTTGTAGGTATGTAAAAAACTTTGTCACTTTTAAATTTCGAGGAACCTACGCAGATCTTAATTTCACGTTCTGCATACCTGAAAGACTGCATCCATCTTTACGTGTCCCATCGGTCCGATGGTTAAAACCAGCGGTTTCTGAGCTCTGATAATGACCATCTGTAGCATTTTGGTGACATTTCCCGGATAATTGTAGAAGTCACCGGCGAAAACACTGACCGCGATTTTCTCGCTCTGAAAAATTCGTCGAAGCAAAAGCAAAACTTTGCAATCCCTTACCTGGACCGTTATTTCGTGGGCGTTCCAATAAAGAAATAATAACTGCGTGTTTAGTGTCAAGAAATATGAAAAAGCGGCAAACCTTTCGGTTATCTTCGAACTCTAAAAACCAGTTCATTTCATTTTCAATTTTTGTAAGCATAGTTTTGTTTGGCTTACGCCTAGCACTTGGATTAGTACCAGAGATAATTGAAAAGAGGAAATAATAAAATCCATCATGGTGAATAACTTCATGCAATCGTTCATTTCCCAAACGAATCTACAATGGACATTGGTATAAAAATCTGTATTTATTTAATATTTACAGAGTGTCCTTATTTTTTTCATTAAAAACTATTTTTAATTCTCATCTAATAATTAAAATAACAGAAATATCCAAATTGATTGACGTCGGAGGAGGGTATGGGCTCGGGACGGCTGTCGGTGTGCGTGTTTGCGGAATCGAACGGGCCTTCAATAATACGACCCTGTACTCGATCTGCAGCGCGGTGAAGCCTACTGGAGTGAGGACAGTCATTGTAAAATGGATCCGCTCCAAGCTAACCGACCGGAGCATTGAGGCAAGATCGGGTTGGGAGCAGGTCTCCATCGGCTCATCACGGGGCTGTCCCCCTTCCTGTGGTGCCTAGTGGTAAACGAGATATTGCATATTCTGACGGAAGAACGCGGGGTCTATACTCAGGCATATGCAGACGACCTTCTGATAATGACACAGGGGACGGACGTGGGAAGGATACAGGGGCTCCTGAACGGGGCATTGGCAAGATTCTCACAATGGTGCAGGGACAGCAAGTTAACTGTCAATCCTGGCAAGGTGGAGATGGTCATCTTAAGTATTTGGGTGTATGGTTGGACTCCAAGTTGACCTTCCAGGAACACATAAGATGAAGGACCAAGTCGGCCTTTGAAGCTCTGTGGGCGTGCCGGAGAGCGGTAGAGGGCACTTGGAGCCTGGGGCCAAAGACCATGCATTGGATTTACAGTATCATGGTGGTCCCTATGCTCACGCATGGGGCAGAGGCATGGTGACCGGGGACCAAAAGAGCAGGAGCAAGGTTAGTTCTTTATATACTGCAGAGATTGGCATGCCTCTGCATAACGGGCGCCATGAGGACGGCAGTCACGAGGGTCTGCCCTCTCTGGCGGATCGGGTGCGGATGGAGGCCGCCAGGAGGGCTGTAAGGCTAGCGAGCTGCGGGCTCTGGAGAGAGGGAACCTTCAAACAGGGCCCGTACGACATTTTAAAGGGCTGGCCCGAGGATCGCGGTGTCATGCGCATGCCCAGTGACGGCATGAACCCTGAGATGACCTTCTTTGACAAATGGACCTTCAAGGGAAGAGTGGAGAGAGGGCAGAGTTGGCTCCTGTGATGGATTTGTCTGGTCCAGAATGGGAGATTTGGCCGGAGCTGGAGCGTACTGCGAGACAACGGGATCGAGCTTGTCGGTCCCTCTGGGTCAGTACTGCACCGTGTTTCAGGCGAAAATTTTCGCTATATTGATGGCGGCCAGAGAGGTTCTTCGGTTCAACCACTTAAGCAGGATAACAGGGCTACACTTATGGCGCTAAAGTCAGTGCCCACGCGCTCCTTGTTGATAAAGGAGTGCAAAGGGATAATGGTACGGGTCACACCGGGATCAGGGAATGAGGCAGCGGACGCCTAAGCGAGGGAGGTCTCCTCGCACAGGCATATGGGACCAGAGCCCTGCTTCGGGATCGACCCGTGCGTGAGGCGGGGAGCTCTCGAAGCCTGGGTAAGAGAACGGGCCGTGGTGGGCCGGATGGTGGCTCCGGGAACGAGGCAGGCAAGGCCTATGATGGATGGGCCCGCCCTCCCCCGCCCTCCCCCAGGGAGCTGCTTGGACTGAGCAGTAGGGAGTGTAGAGTATTAACAGGTGCCTACAGAGGACATTGCAGGGTTAGGAGGCATCTTGGCTTGCTAAGCATTGGAGACGACCCGAAGTGCAGCTGGTGCATGGAAAGGGAGGAGACCCCGTATCATCTGCTCACCGAGTGCCCTGCTTTGACATGGGCAAGATTCGATTCAAGGAGTTGCTGACCTTCTATAGGAGGAGCTGCATTCTGGCCTCCCTCTAATGCGGTCTGCATAGTGTTTCCTTTGCAAGACCAAGTTTGGATTGGATAAGCGGGTATTTGACAGTGAAATTCACTAGCTAATTTATGTTTTAATTTTGTTTACTTATATCTTTCGAATGCTAAGATTTCTGTTATTTTAAGATGATACTAAAAAATAGATATCCCTTAAAAAGTCTTTGTTACCATTATTTTTGAAATTTGTGTAATTAAAATTTGTAAGATCGTTGTATAATCGTTATTTACAACGTTTACAATATTTATTTTTTTAAAACATTAAAAGCTTTTGTCATTGGTCGGGTGAATTTTAGTTATTCCTGAACACGAATCTGTTGTCATTTTCAATTTGATAAAATCTCTAAAAGTACTTCCCCATTTTCCGCTTCAAAAAACTGTGTCACTTAGCCATGATTTTAGTCGATGCTATTCGAAAATTATCAAAATTGAGTCATAAATAAACATTCTATGCGAGTAATGTTTAAGTGAACTTCATTGAAATTAGTATAGTTAGAATAAAAATTCGTTAAAGAAATCTCTAATAGCCCTTCTCGATATTTGACCTCAGTCCCAGTTCCCTATGACTTTAGGTCGATGTAAAAAGAAACATAAGGTTTTAGTGCGTTTTTGACAGATCTATCTAACAAAAAAAATCGAAATCAAACCGTAATGAAAGACTTTATCACGATGTACAGCCTTAAGCGGGGCCTAAACGATATTATTATAGAAATTGGTATAGTTGGGTTCTAAGTACCCCTAAATAAGAATTCGTGCCAATTTTTTTTTTAATCCCTAAGGGTATTTCTGAAGTTGAAGCAATAAGCAAAACAAAGTTTTAGAGCATTTTTCATCCAACAAAAAAATATATCAAAATCGATCCGTAAACAAAGATTTCACAAGGGTGTACAGTTCCTAAGTGGGACACACTGTATGTAGCAGGTACACTAAATAGGGTAGTTTATTATTTAAACTCTACCACCCCTTCGTTGGTGCCTCTGTGGTTAAATAAAAGTGATTTCCTGAACATCCTTGGATATCAATTCAAGTTTTTTAAACTAGTATTAATAGGAGTTAAATTTATAATTTCATTTGAAGGCCATTGTATACAGGGCGCGCAACTAACAAAACTAAAATGCAAACATGGTCCGCACAAAATTAAAAGTATAGAGACACTTGTTGAGTAGGGGACTTGATTAATTATTGGCAGCTATTTTATATGATTTAAGATAATTTTTAGAATAAATTATAAATTTTTGCTAGGGGATATAAATGCTGGAGTTTTTTTTTAACAAATTCAACTAGAGATAGAGAGTATAGAAAAGGAATTCCAAAAAAAATTGAAATGAGGCCCTCGACTTCAGTTAGAACACATTTTCTATAACGAAACAGAAGTTAAAAAGAGATGCCATAAATAACTGTAGAACATACAAAGTTTATCGAAACTAATGCGTGAAAGCATTTTTTTTTGATAAAAATTAAATTTCTACTTTTACTAGTGACTTCTTGACTTATTTATTATTATTTTTTCTTTATATTTTAATAGCCGGCAACTAAAAAGTATGTTGATATTAATTTTTCTTCTTAAGTTCTATCTTAAGTATCAGTCCCAGAGTACGAATTAATTTTCTTTACACTGAGAAAAAATGTCTTCCAAAATATAAACACGGTCTTCAAAAACACCTTGTACTAAACGAATTCTTGCCTGATGACATGTTGATGTTCTCTGATTAGTGCTTTCAGGACGATGTTCCGATTTTCTTCGTCACTAAAATTATGTGTCTTGGAATATTCGTCGCAATAGGCGGTAAAGTTGGCGAATAAATGTCTAAGTATCTTGAGCTGGGCAGTGACAAAAGTCAACATGGTAATGTAAAATGCGCCGCAATGGACAATATATGAATAACCGTAGCTAAAATTGATCAAAATGTAGTTCTCTTTGTGCAAAAGTTAAAAAAAACTCTTACAATCCTGCCACGAACTGAAGAAAGTAAGATGTCCAGTAATGCAGATTGGGATTGAAAGGAAACCAGCTAGAAAAAATCAGACGTCGTGGTTGAACCCCCGTGGAATTATCGAAAGGAAGGGGTAGTAACGCGTCTTCTACCAGAGGACTCGCGTAATATAAGGAGATTCCCGTAGTACCTATCGCAACGTAGATTCTCACCAGTCTTCTAGTGAAGGCTACGTTTTTCGTAAAGATGCCTTTGATGGTGTCGCTACTGCAGGTCAGGATTTGTCGTTCTTTCATTTCTGTCTGGTGGATCAGTGCGCGAAATCTTAACGACCTGAAGATCACGACCTTAAATGTGCGAATAAATCAAAATTTTTTTGAAATAAAACTAACTACAGCTGCAGTAAAATAATCGTTTTCCCAATTCGCAGCGGAGATAAAATAGGATATAATTCAATATGTAGTTTTTGCTAAGTATTTTGATAAAGGCATAAAAGCTTTTATCTTTTTAACAGGAGATAATCTATGAGTATCCTCAAAAATGCATCACCCAGTAACTTTCAAAGTTGTGAAAATATCCAAATATGAGTTTAAAAACAGTAATTCAATTGATAACACATTTTTTACAGACATCGTCTTTTTCAGTGCTTTGAATAATGGCGCAATCAGATCTTTGCTAATTATATAGAGGTAGAATAGGATCTTGCACTTTTCGAACGATTATTTATGTAGTTAGAAAAATCTTTAAAGTTGAAAGTGTTAGTCTGTGTAGTGAAAAATATGGATATTTTAACTTGCAATATATCATCAAAACTAACTTTGTCATAAATATAAATATATTTTTTTACACCCGTCTGTAAAATACCTAATTACCCACTGATCAAGCGTGCGGGAAGCGTCACTTTACCACTTTAGTTTCGTTTTCCACGGATTCGAGCCACTTCGGACATTTCCGGGAGCAATCGAATGTTTTCGGAGATATTTCCCACGCTTTGAATTTTGACGTTTGTCAATTCTGACGGTCATGTCAGTGAATGTATTCGTGTTTTGCGAAAATTTACCCAAAAACTAACTGCCGTAGAAAAAGTATAAGTATGCAACACGTCCGGTAAACTTTTTAACTCACTCGTTTATTAAAAACTCGTGAGTCAAATGCGTTTTACCGCACTTGTTACATAATATACTATTAAAATTGTGCCGTAAACGGCATTTGACTCGTATCCGTTTGGAATAATCAATCGATGATTTCTTATTTTGAAACTTTCGGCACTTTCTCCGTGGGTTAACACATTTTTCCTAAGTATCAGTACATCAGAAGGACACCCAAAATAATGCAGCTTAGCTATTATGTAACGTGTCAAAGGTTTTTACTGAAGATATAATTTACGGTGTCAAAGGTCTTTCGTCGATCTCAACCATATGGAGAGATGAACGTCATATATGTCTCTAGCCTGTAAAATTTGCGTAGCCCGCAACATATAATCGTTTCTTTGTCATGAAGTTTGTCAACACTTACCCTGTAGATGTTTAATATGTAAATAATAGCTACCGCGGCATTACCAGCCGCGTTAATCATGTCTTGATTCCAGGTAGCGAATACCTGTATCATCAGGGTCATATTGTAGAGAATGTAATACAAAAAGCTCGTATAAAAATACAAGTTGTAAATAATAATAAATCGAAAATTCGCAGGCCAGATTCCGATTATTAGCATCGTACGTTTAACGAAACTCATGTGCACGAGATCAGGGTTGTCTGAAAATGATGCATGTCGCATAAATATGCAAAAGTAATATATTGAATTCTATTGACTCTTACCAATGTTTCGATTTTGTTTCACAATGCTCTCAAGCGTTTCCGCTGGTTTTAATTTGTTGGCGTTATCCGTCATTATGGTAGTATTGAAAGCATTTACAGAAACTTCCTAATAAACACTTCTATTCGAAGCACAATTATTAACTTTTTTACGCGAAGTTTTTAATTAAAGGGCTTACTGTGCAACTAAAAACGATCTAACGATCTATGAAATATGCATTATGTGAAGCTTCCTTATGTATCGTTTCACAATAAGGAATTCTTAATTACTTTTCAAACTTTTACCCGTATCCATTTTCAGTTATCCAGGATGTTAGATAAACATTTATTTAATTAAATTCAAATAAGTATTGGCAAATATTTTTTAAAATACATTTTACAAGTTGTATCCGTTTATTGTGGAAGGATTTTAACAGTCGTTAGTATTTTTCAAATCAAGAAAGAATTAACAAAGACATCATGTCAAAAAAACTGTGGAAGAAATTAGAAATCCTTCAGTCAAATTCCAAGAAACTAGGACCAGTGCCAAATACAAACCAAAGCCCTACACTTTATAATATTTTAGCATACCACCTTTCCGATACAGAAGTCAGCGTACTGAATAAAGTATTTAACTATGCAATAGCTCCAAAAAGAATACCCGTCGAAGAGATCGTTTCCAACGTCGAAGCAAATCTTTCCACTATAAACGAACAAGATGCGGAGTTAATACGGCAAGATGTCGCCAGAGTTTTAAGACAGTCATAACCACCACAACCAAACTTCAGCAGAGAAGAAATGCATGCACTGAGAAACAAAAACGAAAATATTATAATAACGCCAGAAGATAAAGGAAATACCACTGTCGTCATGAATACATCGGATTATTATGCAAAATTGGAAGATATTTTGAACGACTCAATATACAAAGCTAGTCACCAGAGATTCCACGACGTTTTTGGAAAAAACAATTATGTCCAAAATTCTCGGTTCATCAATAAACGACGATACAAAGAAGAAACTTATTCACGGGAAAAAATTCTACGGGTTCCCAAAGGTACATAAGGACGGGGTTCTCCTGCGTCCAATCGTGAGCGCCTTTAACTCACCAGTATGCAAGCTGGAAAAACATCTAGTGCACTACAGCCCATAGTGAAAAAGACAGATTCCTATGTCAAAAATTCAGAACGTTTCGCCAAATTTCACTCGGCATCTTCAATGTTCGCGCTCCTAAAACACTTCGAACACTCGTGTGAAACAGATTTAGTCTTGGCGTATCCGTTCCGTAAGTTCTAAACCTACCTACTGCAAACGACTATTGTTTTGCTTAAATATATTTTTTTAAATTAACAGCTTACCTAATATCAGCAAATTTTGTCAAATATTCGAATTGAGTGCGCAAAATCCTTAAAAATGTAGTACAGAAATAGTTTGACTTTCAGACAGATTGTCTTGGCCTATCGGTTAAGGCGTCTGACTAGAAATCAGATTCTTTAACACAGCACCTACTGCAAACGACTATTGTTTTGCTTAAAAATATATATATTTTTTAATTAACAGCTCAGCTCAGAAAATTTTGTCAAAGATGTTAATAGAGTGCATAATAATAAATAATAATAAATAAACTCGTGATTCTATGACCGTTAGTTTTTGGGTATATTTTCGTAAAATAACACGAATACATTCACTGACATGACCGTCAGAATTGACAAACGTCAAAATTCAAAGCGTGAGAAATATCTCCGAAAACATGCGATTGCTCCCAGATCCGTGTGGTCAAATCCCGGAAATGTCCGAAGTGGCTCGGATTCGTGGGAAACGAAACTGACGTGGTAAAGTGATGCTTCCCGCACGCTAGATCGGTGAGTAATTAGGTATTTTACAGACGGGAGTAGGAAAATCTATAGAAATGTAATTCCCGTATATTTCAAACGCATGGCACATCATTGGAAATAGTTCGACTTTCAAACAGATTTAGTCTTGGCCTGTAGGTTAAGGCATACGACTAGAAATCAGATTCTCTGTCGCAGCGTAAGTTCGAAACCTACATAATGCAAACAACTATTGTTTTGCTTAAGTACATTTTTTTCAAATTTTTTCAAATTCAAAAATCTATAGAAATGTAATTCCCGTATATTTCAAACGCATGGCACATCATCGGAAATAGTTCGACTTTCAAATAGATTTAGTCTTGGCCTGTCGGTTAAAGCGCCTGACTAGAAATCAGATTCTCTATTGTTTTGCTTGCACACATATTTTTTTTTAATTAACAACTAACCTAATATCAGAAAACTTTGTCAAATACGCTAATAGGGTGCATAAAATTATAAAAATGTAATGTCCTTATATTTCCATCGCATGCCACATCACCATAAATAGTTCTACTTTCAAACAGATTTAGTCTTGGCCTGTCGGATAAGGCGTCTGACTAGAAATCAGATTCTCTATCGCAGCGTAGGGTTGAAACCTGCCTACATTAAATGACCACTGTTTTGCTTACACATATAATTTTTTTTTAATTAACAACTAACCTAATATCAGAAAATTTTGTCAAATTTGCTAAATGAGTGCATAATATTATAAAAATGTAATGCCCTTATATTTGAAACGCATGGCACATCATCAGAAATAATTCGATGTTCAAATCGAAGGCCTGGCAGGATTCCAGACGGATGTAGGATTCCAGCCGAAGCTCAACAAACGAACGGATGATATTCCGGAATATACCATCGACACATTTTTCCATCCGTGAATCGATACGTGAAAATATATATAACTTAAGAGCTACAATATTCAAGAGTGGCACGTTACAAGTCTTCATTGAATTATGCTTAATTTTCAATTATAATTATTATTAAAACAAAATTTCGCATGCTCAATGATTGCATTTTAATAAGTAGATGTGAAATGTGATCGTTTAGCTAGATTTTTGATTTTTTTTTAATTCGCAATAATTGAAAAGTTTGTAAAAATATGCACCGCAGGTTTCTAGACATCAAAAACCTTAAAATTCAATACATTATTTTCCAATTTAAAATGGAAACAAAATTAATGTTAATTAAACAAATCATAATTAGAATGTAATCAATGCAAACGATATTGCAGGATCGTTAGAAAAAAAAAAGAACGAAGAATCTTTAAGTGATGAGCTTCATTCTCTTAAATGCCAATATTGGTACTGATCTTCTCACGATAAATCTTTGAATACTGTTTACATCATTAACCAACATACCAATTTTAGTTAGTTCGTGTTATTTTTTTTTTTCGTAAAATTGACTTAAATTTGTTTGCAGGAGCAATAAATTACACAAATGTACCTGCTTTTCTGTTCTTGTTTGCTTACAGGATTTCTTTTCTAATTTAATTAATTGTTAAGTTTGATTATCATTAGAAATTAAAAGCGATAATAAACATTGAACAATTGAATTTTCTGTATATCACAAAGTTTAAGGAATTTTTGGTCCTAAATGATATTCTTTGGCCCATTTTAAAATATCTATAACACTTACAAATAAAAAACTAGGTAAAAATGTTATTATTTTATTACTAGAAAATATAATTAGGCGCATACGTGTAAAGCAATGTCCACAAAATATAAAATCTCTGCGTAAGTTTTACTGAAGTGAAAATATAATATGTAAATTCCATTTCATGCACAAGGATTAATGCAAGTTAATGGTCTGAGTTTTTGATCCACCCTGATATTACCGCTCATTTGGTTTGTTAAAATCACTTCGCCATGGGGTGTTCTAGAAGTTTTTCTGAAACATTACCAACGTTGTTTACATAATGACGTTGGCAAAAATTAAAATTTTAAAACTTTAAAAAGTGATTTTTTCGTTTTGTATTTTGAAAATATGAAAAAACTGGTTAAAAGTTTACAAAAAATAACGCAATAACTGACCTGCCCTCATCATCTTGTTCGTTTAGAAATACTATTTGGCACCTTTCTTCTTTATCCGAATGCATGGCCAGCGTACCGTTGTAAACGAGAAGGTCATCGATTAAAATCTATAATACAAAATATTGTAACATTAAGTATACTGGGAATAATATTCAATTTCAATAAAAATCTATTAAACTTTAATCAGAATTAGTAAATAGGCCCAGATAAGTTACCAGCCGAAATTCTTCAACTCAATTGAAAAAGAGGAAACTGCTATACATAGGACACATTATGAGGAGAAACAAATATAATATAATACTTCAACTCATAATGCCAGGAAAAATAAGTGGAAGATCAGTGGGAAGGAGAATATATTCCTTGTTAAGAAATTTACCCGAACGGTTCAACACCACCCGCACCAATCGGAAGAAAAAAAGAAATAGGAAACGTAGAACAAAAACTAAAAAATAAATTTTGCAAGAAAGCTTTAAAAGAATAAGTTATTTTGTTACCAAGAAGTTTATAGCTTGGCAATCTTAAAGTAATTTTTTTTTTCCGGATTGAGAGCAAACGGGTTCGAATATTTAGTGTTCCTATAAATACCGTGACAAATGAAAAATATACAAATGCCTTTTCAGTAAGTATTAATATTTGTTTATCGACAATCTGACACGCTGACTTATATATTCGCTTATTTTTGACTCCGACATAAATTTTTAACAAGTTACAATTTTTTTAGTATTAAAATTATAATTATTAAACTATTAAAACGAAAAAAATTGTCCGTGTATATAAGTGAAATTATTATGAAAATTACCTTATCGGACACGTGATTTATCTTATATTTTACAGTCTTTCTACTAGTCTACGTATGAAAGAAATGTATTTTTTCCAAAAGTACTTGATTTTTTTTTAATTAAAACAAAAGCTTTCAAACCTTACAACACAATAGATTTTAATTTGCCGCCATTGTCATTTCACTCCAAGAAAACATATTTTTATAATACGAACGCAAAGTCATTTTCCCACCATCAAAAGCTTATCTGGGGTTTAAAACTAACCCTATATTTTTGCGTACTAATTAGGAACACTACTTTTTTTTAACGAGGTTTAGTGATATGTAGTCACAAAAAAGAATAATTAATGCGCGGACCTTTACAACGTTCGAGCTGCTTTTCTTACCCCGAAATCTTTGACTCCCCTGTTCACCGTTTTCGAATAATTCCAAATTTTTACGAAAGATACAGCAACCGGAACATCCATAATGACATACACTCTACTTAAGAGTTTAGGAATCACTGGCGCGAGCCAAGAATGCGACCCCGTATCGTCTTCGTTGACTCCGTCTATGAGTTTCTCGGGCGTCCTCACGTCGCCGTTGACGTGGGGTAGAATGTTGACACTTTCCGGGTAGGCGCAAATATCTACAAACGCACGTTGTATAACCAACCAGCGACCTTTACCAAGATAAGAACGGCCACTCTCCGTTTTCCCGAATCGATCTAGTGTATAGGTGCTTTGAAAGCTTACTGGGTGACCCCTATTTAACCAACACGATGTACTGGGTGAATCATAAACTAAACTGGAGATACTAGACATACGATTGAGTTCAATATATCAATATATCTCAATGCTCCATAGGTCTCTGGTTTCGGAGATACTAGTTCAAAGTTAAAATTTTATCCTGATTTTTTTTATTAATTAGGAAAGTTTTTACAGTATAATTATAAAAATAAGGAGTATTAGGTTTTTTAATATGCCAATTATGAATTTTGCCCCTAGAGGGCCCAAGTTTCACCGTATTATTTAGATAAATCGGATCATCAAAATAATAAAGTTTGATACACCTAAAAAAAACAAACTCAATATTCAGCGTTTTTCAATATCTAAATTTTTGAAGATGATACTTAATTTAACTGTCTTGAATTTTTTTGTGAGCTCTACTTTCTCGTAAAGCGGAATTCCAGTTCTCTGTTTTACTTTGGGAACTTTTTGGTAATTCCAGTATTTTTCGTAAATTGATTTTGAGTTATATGCGAAATAGTAATTTATTGAAAACAAAAAACATTAAATGGAGTTAAATTGACTACTACCCCCAAAAAGACCCTCTAGGTCAAAACGAAGCTCCTACTAAGTAGTGATTTTTTTTTTAATTTTCTTTTATATTTTTATTATTTTAAAGTTATAAATAATGTTAATCTGGGTAATAAAAATAAGGTTTTTATTGCATGTAAATAATTTTTGGTTTTTATCTCAAAATTGGTTAAGACTACAACTTCCACCGACATTTATATAAACTTTTATCCTTACACATTTTTTTGTAATACGTGTGGATACAATAATATAGAATTTTTACAATAAAATAACTCAATTAATAGTGATTAAGTGATGCCAATAAGGGCGGGATCCAAAAAGAAATGTGCATAAATGTGTTGTCAATCCTAGAGCCCGACCTTTGAACTTATAATCACACTTTTGATTTATCGTAAAAACTTTATATCTCAAGCAATGCGTGCAGTTTTCTAACAACATTTTTGAAATAAAGCTTCTATACACAATTATACCCATGTGTAATGGCGTCATGTGGTTGCCAAAAACGAAAGGTTCGCTGTTTATTACAAATTACGAGTTTAACTGTTGGACAAAAATATTATGGCGCTTAAAGAATATTAGGACAACGTATAGTTTCCATTTCATTTATAAAAGTACCAATACATTTCAAATAATCAGCTGTCATTTTTTTATTATACCCATTGTTGTCTTGTTCTCGGCATTATTTAATACTTTTGGAAATTATTTTCGACAAGTTAATAAACCAATGTTTTTGACTGCCAGTGGATGGATATTTTGCATACCCTTAAATAACGGTACATAAAAAACGAATTTTTTTCAAAACTTTGTTATCACCGCATGTTTGGAGTTCATTAAAAAATACATACAAAGGAGTATAATTCCGACTACATCATCTCGTATTGTCATTAAAGTACTCAAGGGAAAAGAATTTTCGAAACGCTGAACATTTGCTTGTATTCAAAATATCAGTATTTCTAACTAATGTAATCTGTATATACTTGACGTCACCGAGCAAAGTTCTCCAAACGATATACGGTTTTTACTTTGGTAAATATTTATGAAAGTCTAGCCGCAGGCCTAACTCGCTTGGGTTTCTTTTTGTAACACTCATTAAATGGATTCGCAATTCCACAATGACGTTTCAGAACCGGACTTCGGTACTTCGCGTTTTCCTTTCTTGGACACCATACACAACTATGTCACATACTGTGACATACTGTGTTTTAGTCATCAGGACGTTAATTTTCACGATTTCACCAACCCTCACAAATTAACCAATAGCAAACTGGGAAAACATCCATTATAAATCAATTATCTACATAAGGATTTGTATTGCTTTCCTAGGAAAATAATTTAGTGTTATTATGGTAAACCCTCAAACTGGAAGTCAGTTTAAGCTTTCTAATGAGTTTTCAATATAGGAGATCAACCTATCTAACGGGCAAATTCAACTTGAAATCGAGCTACCTCAAGTGGGGACTGTTTTAGGAAGATTTATAAAAAGCACACTAAAATGAATTATAAATCAGTTTAATCAAAGAAAATTTCCCTACTCTTAAAATATTTGTGGTACGTCTTCTTTTTATGTCTTTTGCGCATTGTACTCTGTAGTCAAAGACGTAGCTGGGAAGATGCGCTAGAGCTCTCATGCCATCGTATTCGCTGGGGGGGGGGCGTCCAGGAGGTCTGCTCGATCTTGTAAGACCATCTCTTGTAATTTTCGGCAGTCGGCATTCGCGCCTGTTTCGGGACTGTAACGGGTCTCACACAGGTTTTATATATGCGAGTTTTAAATTCTATGGTCATACGATTGTTACTTCTTTTTGGAGATCTCTGCTCTACAGTATATGTCCAATTTACATCTTCTGGTCTCTTTTGATATAGTTAGTGATTTAGATTTTGCTATCGATATCTCCATGTTATACTTAGAGGCTACGTTTTCGAACGTAAAGAGCATTCAACACGGAATCGTCGGCATAACAATCTTCTTCACTTCTGATATTAGATAGGGCTCAGACTTTGGGCTTGTCTTATTCCTGTCTGCATGGGTATTTTGCGTGTTTTTCTGCCCTGTGGGTCATATTGTCGGTATTTAACTCATTTAACTACGATCTTTATTTAGTCTGGGTGCATGCTCATTTTTTTGAGAAGTCTCACAACATCAGGGAGTCTTACACGGTCAAATGCTTTTGCGAGATCTATTAAACACATATAGGCTGCTTTATTGTATTCTATAGACTTTTCAACCATCAGCCTGATTGTAAAAATTGCATCTATTGTTGACCTATTTTATCTAAAGCCTTGTTGCTCTTCACACAGCCCACGAGAAGATATTTCGTCCGACAGGATTTTGGTGAATAATTTCAGTATTGAGCTTAACAGCGTGATTCCCCGATAGTTTGCTAGGTCTTTTCTCCTTCCTACCTTTCAAAACCATAAAAGTTTGTAAAAACGGCATATCGTTTGCTGAACTTTACTATCTATGACGAGTGCGGAAGTGCAAAGCAATATTGCTAGCGAAAACGGAGAGTGGCTTTTCTTATTTTGCTAATGTTCGATGGTCGATAGAAAGTGTTATACTTTGATCGTGCAGTATTATCATCTGGCCGCTTTCGTTGTACAACTCTAAACCGTTGAGTCCGCAATAATATTGATCTCCCCACGTTGAATATACGATAAATTCGACAACGAAACCCACCACGCAACTAGAAGGATCTTCGAGTGTTGGCGGAATTTGTACAGGACCAAAAAATCTGAAACAAATCCTAATTCGTCCCTTCTATCGTTTGCTTGTGAGTAAAAGAAATATGAAGAAACGATGTTTAAAGCATTTATTTTAAACTGGGTTTTAAATATCAATTGACCGCTTCGTATTGCCATAGATGGAGTAATAATTTTCTCAGCCGTTTTGTACATTAAATTTTATCCCTTCTTCGTGACTGAAATTTGAGAGTTTCGAATTTTCCTTTTTTCTTTTTTGGATTCGCTAAAACTTTTTTATTTGTAAACTAACCTATGAAAAATGAATTGGAGTATATCTCTATCAAAAAAATGGAAGGACTAGCAAAAAGTATTAAATTGGGTTGGCTCCTTTAAGGTTTCACGATTTTTTTAAAAACGCTCCCTATTTTTCAATAAAAAAGATAAGTATTTTTTCCCCGAATATTAGAACCGTAAAAAGAAGAAGCGAAAACATTTTTGAGTTTTCTGAAACTTAAATTCACGTGACAAAATCATACAAAATATCATATTATGTCGAAATATATTAAGTACACTTAATTTAGGTTTATATGTATACGAGGTCCAATTAACATCCTTACCTAGTTAATATTGTGACCTGTCACCAGTAAAATTCTAAATACGAGACTTACTCTCGAGACTCTTTGGCTCAGCTAGCTGATAAGGTTTATATTAATTAAATGCACAGCATATGGTAAAATGTTGAATTTTCTTTTCCCATTTTATTCATTTTTTAAAATCATGCGTCAATACTATCAACTACAAGAATTAACATATTTTTTAGACTCGTTTTATCACTGTTATTTCATATGTATTTTGGAGCATTCAATTCTCTTTCAAATGAATGGAGTATAATAACTAACTACCAGCTAACTATTTCACAATTTTACCTTATATCGTGAATGAAATCGTAATAGGTGTTACCCGGAGCTCGACGCAATAAAAATATTTGGTCATTGGTGCCAGGATTCAAAAGTGTTTCGCCATCTACGACGATTTTCAAGCTCTTTACTCCGACGTAAGAAAGGTCCAGACTTTCGTTATAATTCCACAACCTGAGGCCTAGAACCATTACATCTACCATAATTACATGGGATGAGTATATTTCGTTGACTCACCCGAAATATACTTTAAATCAACCAAATCAACACTAATCACAATACCATCCTGTAAAGGTACGCACCACATGTTTTTTGGATTAACGGTAACGTTTTTACCGTTAATAAGGTTCCCCAAATGTCCCCGGTCTACGTTGCTTGATAAGTTCTCTTTACTAATTCTGAAATGAATATTTGCGACCTATCAAACCAACAAAACCATCTAACGAAAACGAAAAAGCGGGAAAAAAATACTTGTGTGTAATACAATTCCGCAACTGACACTAAACCATTTATAATACTGGAATGAAAGAAGAGTAACAATTTTGCTAAAATGTTCTTTTATAAAATCTAAGTAAATATATTGTTATTCTGTAATTCCAGAAAACTTTTATCTATAACAAAGGTATTAAAATCGTTAACTAATTTAAAACGTGGATTATAACTCATTCATGATGTTTTGAAACAAACATTGACAAATATTCTGGAAAACTTTGGAAAAAGATGCAAACCAAGACGACTCCCACATCAACTTAAAAAAAAATATTGTTACGACTCTGTCAGCGGTAAGAAAAACATACCGGATAGGCCCGGTCACTTAGTTTTGATATGATTTTTCGTGGAATGGGTCACCATCACGCAATAACTCACCTAGTGGACATCTAATAATACAGATAATAAACATTTGACATCTTATATCGAGGCATATCAATACTTTACTAATAAAAAAACTCAACGGCCCAAGTCCTTAAGCGATGTTAGGGTATAGAGCAAATAAGTAAATTAACTAAAAACAGCCCTAATCGACAATTAAATAAAATTTCTACTATTTACGTGGAATATGCAAAAGGGACCATTTGATGTTCATTTTTTTAATCTGGATTTCCATTATAAATTGATTTTTTCCACTTCCTACTTTAAAAACCCAATAATGGACGGCTTAAGTGTGCGAAGAGTGAACTTTTAAGACGTCAGTCATATGGTCACGGGCTACTTCGGATGGTATTTTGACGTTTGGAAATTATGACAGTTACGTCACACGTCAACAAGTAATTATTTTCGTACTCTTTTGCTAGGTGTGCATAAAAATTAACCAAAACTAATGCTTCTAGTATAGTGGGCAACACGTTGATAAACTTCTTCAGTCAGTCTTGTATTAAGCACTCGCTCCGGTTATGCCAAATCAAACTAATACGATTGCGGATTTTTCACTGTTTCACCTATACGATTTTTGAAAGTGAATTTTTACAGGGAAATAAGAATAATTCAATAAATTCTCAAGAATTTCAGCACCTCCAACAAAATATTTCCTAGGTCGTACTGTTTTCGAATATTTAATTGATTACCAAGTTTTGGTAACGAGATTTACCTTAAGGTCCGATCAGTTCCCTCGATAATTTCTAATCCGGTAAGACCAATCGCCAAAGGGTTACCCCAGTTCTCTAACAGCACCAAATCGAGTCGTTTGGCACCGATCAAAATTTGCTCTGGTGAATCACTGGTTTCGGATGCTTTTTTCAGGGCTGTGCCGGTCACAGGCCTAACCTTTAATCAATAAAAATTTGTAAGGAAAACTCATTGCCATTGTTTATCGGTATATACAGAACGCGCGTTTAAATTTCACTAGTTTTCTGTAAATTTCGAAAAGTTTGCCGAATTTTGAAGACATTTTTGTACACATAATCTTAATGAAACTCTGCCAATGTTTCACATTTTTGCTCCTCTAACCGGCAAATTTTTAAAAAAGTTAAGGAACTAAAATTATTTTTCTCAATCCAATCTTTGCAAATGCCCAGAAACCTTGAGCCAATATAAATAAATATTTTTGAATGGTAAAGCACTGCTCACTCTTTTGGTGAATATTTCTTATAGAAAGATATGCTTATATTTTTGAATATATTTTCATTGCTTACTTCAGATAAGACAATCGAAGTCGGAGGTCTGTCGGATTTGTTTGCGGGCGTCGGTGGTTCTGAAGTTAACGTCGGGAATGACGAGTCGTTTTTGGAGATTTTCTCCAGGATTACCTCGTCAGTAGTAAATAAAATTGTCTGAAAGTAAATCTACAACTCAAACTAAAAGTATTTCTCGAATCTCCATAAGGCCTCGTCGACTATTAGTAAACGTCGTTTTTTTAAAAACAGAATCTATTTATCCATTAGATTTGGTTGCAGATTCTCTTAAATTTAGTACAACTTTATAAAATAAGTAATAGAAATTGCTTCACGAAAAACTCATAAGACAACATAATCAATAGCAAAATTTTTGGCGAAAAAAATTGGCGATATTGTTCATCTGGGAATAGATAATGTTCTGTTTTGGGCGTATATCAGACTAAAAAATTATAAAATGTGGGTAAAGAAAGTTTTTGAATCGAAAGTTTATATTATTGGATGAAAACCGATAATTATTAGTTCAGTAATAAACACTTAATTTCCAAAAAAACGTTCAACGTGTTTCAGGGTATTATTGACTATTTTTTTTTCTTGAAGTTTTCGGTAGGTTTTCTTCTTTTCGCTTTTACATAATGGGTAAAAACCAGTTGTACTATTTAACATATTGAAAGAACTATTACTTTAAATTATACTTTAATTCAGCACCACATAAAAGGAATTGTTTCAATGTGTATATATGTCTAGTTCCATTTGCGTTGTGATGACATGTTTTTTTTAGTTTGTGGTGCAATACTTAATTAACGACAAACTTTCTTTTATCTTGCTTTAATTTAATTTAATTTTTAGTGACGTTCGGGCCCACATGATAGAAGACTGGATTTGACTAAATTTGAGTAGAGATGTTGTTGGCAATATACTTTAAAATCGACGGTACACATATGTCAATTATTGAGGATGGACAAATTCGTTGAACTATTCTTTTGTAAGTGTGGGATCAATTTCGATAAGGTAAATAGATATTTGTAAGTGTAAGTGTAAGTTAACAAGTTTCTTTTGTTATTTTTTAAGAATTTCCCAATGAATTTTATGAGTTAACATTAATTTTTTACCAGTTTCTATTGAAAAATTAGAATTTTTATCGTCCTAGTAAAAATATCTAGTTCCTAATATAGTTTTTAAAAGCACTTTGGTAAGGCACAAACTTTTCTCAAATCATTTTGAGAAGTTATGTTCGTCAAGTATTTGTTCTACTTTAATTTATTTTTTCCAATGTGTTCGCAATTCCATGGCGTTCCTCTAGGTAAATTTTATAAATTAAAAAAAAAGGAAATGACGTCACTCTAACGGTCGACAATTGCCTCACCATCTTACATCTCCAAAGTGATGTATTCCCCCGAGGATCCCACCGCACGCTTTGGCAATCTCCCCTTTAAATATCGGCACACCGTCCAGAAAAATTACGATATCTTTTACGCCTCTATAGGAGTGAATCCTTGACTTATTGTAATTCTGAAAAGTTACTAGTGTTGAAATTAACAGCTACAATGGATGACAGAAATAAAAAACGGATAAATTATGTAAAATGTAAAATTTGAAACCATATTGATGCAACTACTAAGCGCCAAATGTATGTTGAATTGAGGTGCCTTTTACTTTCCATTTAACACATTTAAATTAGAACAAAATATGTTTTAATAATAAATAAGATTTTCACAGATTATATATATATATATGTATATATATATATATATATATATATATATATATATATATATATATATATATATATATATATATATATATATATATATATATATATATATATATATATATATATACACTGTTCGAAGTGTTTTCGGAGCGCGAGCATTGAAGATGCCAAGTGAGATTTTGGCGAAACGTCTGCAGGATTCCAGTCGGATGCAAGATTTGCAGGATTCCAATCGGATGCAGGATTCCAGTCGGAGTTCAACGAGCGAACTGATGATATCCCGGAATATAGTGTCATCACATTTTTCCATCCGTGAATCAATACGTGAGAATATATATATATATATATATATATATATATATATATATATATATATATATATATATATATATATATATATATATATATATATCATCCACGTATCTATACCACCATAGAAAACTTTTACTTAAAGGATGTTCTAGTATGATATTTTCCAAATTATCCATAAAAATCTCGGCTAACAAAGGACTAAGTGGGTTTCCCATAATCAAACCTTCTTTAGAGATGTAAATCTGTCCATTAAACTCAAGATAATTTTGGTCTAAAGCATCAAATAAATTTTGTTTCACCAATGGGTTAACCTGTTTTCGAGTTAGGGTGAAATCTACTAAATCTATCACATCCATAGGTGGAATACTGGGAAATAAGTTTTGTACATCAAAAGACAATAGTGTTGCATTAGAAGGGATTTTGATATCTTTAATTTTGTTGATTAGTTCAAAAGAATTTTTTATTGAAAATTTTGGTTTAAAATCTGTGTGGAACTTTAAAATATTTGCTAATTTTGTTGAGAGATTAACTGCTGGAGCTGTTACATAAGGCACGACTGGCCTGATGGGTATATCTTGTTTATGTAATTTAACTAAAGAATATAATTTCGGCGGTTGTGGCGGTTTTTTTTTATCGAAATATTGTCACATATTGTATTTGATAAAGGCGCGGTATTGTCGAAACACCTGTCATAAAGTAATAAATATCTGTGAAAATCGGAACATATTTTGTTCTAATTTAATTGTGCTAAATGTATGTGACAGACTATTGGAGAGAACTGATTCTTATTTTTTATTACGGAGATATCACTCTGTATTTCCCTGTAATAAAATATACTGCTCTTATTTGTTTACAAATACGTAAATGTTTTTGAAACTAATGGATTGATTATTCTTTTATATTTAAACGGATTCTAAAAGGCAGGCTAGCAAAATTTGTCTTTTAAAACATATATATGGAGGTATAGGAATCGGGCATACCGAGTAGTTCAAATGTATCGACCTATCCTGCCCGAGTAACGCAATACGCTCAGAGTGAGTAAATGAAAAAATTGGTCTATCAAATTTCAACGAAAATCAAACACACACAACTGGACATCATTGTGCAGGGCGCAGTTTACTTTACCCATATTCTAATCATAGCTAGAGTAGTTTCCTCGAAAAACTGTATCGAAATTGTGTGGCAACGGCCCAGATAATAAGGGGCCAACCATATATGCATATCGTCTTGGGTTCTATTTACACCGTCGAGTAAATTTGAAATCACACGGGGGTCGTTTTGGCACTCTGGCAGTATATTCACGTCGGACGGATCTGCCGTTATCTAAAACCGTTTTTTTTAACCTTTCATGGAGTTCTCAGACGAAACAAAGTCTGCTTACTTTTTCAATTTGCACGTGGTTGCCGGTGTCGGAAAATATTTCGATACCATTTAACCCCACGTAATATTTATCACCCCACGTCGAAAGAATATCTATTAACAACATCTAAAATAGAATGGCATGTGCAATGTGTAAGAATCCTATATAATTTTATATAAAAATATCGTTCTTTATAAAACACCTCGCTTACAGTAGGAAACGCTATGAAAAAATCAGATTCAAATTACAAAATTACATTGCATCATAAGGAACATCGCGAATTAAATCCTAAAGCGTTACTAATGTGCGTACATTTTAAACTGTATTTTAAATCTTTAAATATAATTTCAATGCGAAATTTGTCACGTTTAGGCTGACAAATGCTTAACTTGTGACAAAAGCAAGAGAAAATGGATTAATAAATTAAAAAGATAAATAAATAAATTAAAAGATGTGAAAAGTATCGTTAAACACAACTTTAAAGATTATTCGCGAAACATCCAGTACGGTAAAACTCTGCCGGGAACAGTTCGTATAAAAATTTGGGGTCACGTTCGTGTAGAAATGGCAACATTTAAATTAAAAGTGGTGTAAAATCAAGTTTTTAATTGCAATAATTGTAGTTTGCTTTTAAGAAAATTGATGCAAATTACAAAAGAGGCCTTTAAGTGTTAATATCTTTGCTGAATAGAGATAAACGCCTTCTCATTGTCTACGTCCCACACTTTCTGTCTCGGAGGCACAGCGACAGATCCTTTCTATTCTTTATGTGGTTTTACTTTAAGGCAGTTGCAAAATGGTGTTCTTATTATTTAGATCATCATAAAGGATTTGTTTATTACAAGTAGAGATGTAAGAGGGGTTCCAAAAGGAAGGTCTTATACTTTGAAGTTACCAGTACTATTGGGATGCGGTTGCATAACAGTGTGATTGGAATAACTGTTTTCTGTAATATTTTAATTAAGCTGTTAGTGCTATTTTTTTAAATTAATAACGTATAAAATACTTTTAGTATTGGTAACAGGGGTACATTAAAAACTGCTCATGAATTAAATGAATTCGTTGCATTCGAAAAGTGGTGGCGAAATAATTTATAAAAAACAAGTTAGTTAAAGTCTGTTCATAGATATAAGAAAGTGACTAACTGATACGAATTAAGGAAAGACCCGGGCAAGCTGTAAGTATGAAATATGGCCGAACAGGTCCGTACTTTGCTTAGAATTTAATTATTTGGGGTTTTGTTAGGAAAGATACTAAACAATATTTATTCATTTATGTATGTATTTATGTTTAAATCTAAAATCAAATTACAAATTATTTTTATTACCTATTAAAATTACTTAAAATTATTCACATAATATATCAGTATCACTATCGCTATCATCGCCTGTTCTAATTATTATTTGTTCTATATTATTTGCAATATGGATATACGATTGTTCTGTTTTTTCTATATGTGTAACAGAATTTGCACAACTTTGTGGAGGGATGTTAAAAACTTCGGTTTCTATAAGTTTGAGGACATTGAAGTTAACACGGGGAAAAACATTGTTACGACGAATTGCAGATTTCAGTTGGTGCCAAACATGTTCAATGGGATTAAATATACAGTGGTAAGGTGTATGCCCTAGATTTTGTTGCATAATTATCACAGACATATTCCTTTTGTAGGTTCACGGTTTGTCGAACTTTAATTAATTGCTTTCTGGTATAATCATCGTGAAAATAAATGTCGTTATTATACATGTGGTTTTGGATTGTTGCTTTTGTATCACATGAGGAAGGGGTTTTAGTCAACTGTCTACTGTGATAACTTGTCTTGTCCATTACAATTACGCTATTAGGAGGAATGTTTGGAAATCAGCGATGGTGTCTTCATGGTAATCCAGAGAAGGATCTTTAATATTTTTCGCAGACAGAGAAAGTCCATTTGGAATCCAACCATCTTTAGAGCCAGCATGCAAAATAGTTATTCTTTTACCTCTTTTTGATGGTGCGTTTGTTTTACACTTGTCACTTGAGTCAACCCAACCCTTTTCCGGGGTATCATAAGTGTCGAACCAGGTTTCATCCAAGTAAATAATTGGCCTTTGTTGTTCTCTGAAAATCCTATTTTTTTCTAGATATTCCAGTCGCCATTTCCGAATTCTAAAAGATTCCATTAAAACTTGCCTTTTGTCAATTTCTTTAAATCTAAAACCCATGTGTTGAATACACTTCCATAAGGTAGTTCTGCCACATTTAACACCGGTTTCATCTTTTTCAAGCCTCCTAATTAAGATATCTAATATAGGCACGCTTTGTTCCTGGTATAACTAGTAAATTTTACGCCGTATTATATCTTGATCAGTTTCATCTACACTCGAGAAAATGTCAGCATCGCTTCTTTTTTTCCTCGCTGAAATGGGATTATTCACAATTTTCCATACAGTTGATGTAGGAATTTTCGTCAATGTGGCCATTTCTTCTAAAGATGCTTGTTTGCTGGCACCACGTCCAATGAGAGTCAAATAAACATTGTTTATAACTTCCTTAGTCTCAATAGAATAGTGTTTTCTACATTTGGGCGGGAGCATCTCCTGAGATACACTAGACTCGCACATATTTTGCATACTTCGCACACGATTCAACACACGCTGCATTACATACGAAATAAGAATGATAACTAATAACCTTAAACTAAGTAGTATACCAAACCAAACACAGGTAGTTATAAAATTATTTTCTATTAGGGACCAGAATTTTACCTGAATTTAAATGCCGAAACTTTAGGTAACAATCTTGTTGCATTGTATGTTAATGACCACCCTTGGATAATCCCATTCAAAAGCAATTGGTCACTTTCTTATATCTATGAACAGACCATACCTTTCCTTTTGGCAACTCTGGTATGATAAACTCAAAACGTGGAACCACGTCGCGTTCTTTGTAGAAATTTTGGTCTTGAGGTAAACTGGTCCTCCTTCCCGATTGTCTGCTTTTATATTTTGAATTTTTTCGGTATAATCGCGGTTCCCTGCCGTTTTTTCCGATCCGTCCGCTGGTTATCCGTTCATTTTCCGACAGGAGTTGGTTAATTATTACTTCCCTCATTTCTTCCTCCTCTCTCAATCTACATTTGTAGTCGCTAATGCGTTTTTCGAATACGCTGTCGAATCTAATCGAAAAATATGAAGAGCACCAAGTCACTAAATAAGTAACAATAATAGTAATAAGAAAGAGAAAAAAATACAATCCGTAAAAGCAAACAATGGACTGAACCGAAGTAAACTAAGAATTATGGGGGCTAGAGACAAAAGAAAATATAAATACATTCAATGCCAAAGATAGGGATTTAATATTAAAAATTTAGTTCTACAAAAGCAACATTAATATAATTATAATAATTATTAATAATCAATAGTAACTCTATTCTTAAACTGTATAGGAAATATTTTTCCACCATTTATCACTATTAAAATCATTGAAGGCGATTCGCTAAAGGCATGACTAATCAGTGTTTTACATTTTTATTTTTATAGTTAAAGCATTGTTGCGGATGGTAATCCATGGAAAATCATGTTTAGGCAAATGAAAGGAATATCCGTGGTTCTAATTTTTATAGAACTTCTGGATTCCTCCTGCGTCGGTTCTTGTTGACTCGAACTAGCTAACTGTTTCAGTCAAAGTCTGAAGAAGCCAACAGGATGATTGGCGAAACGTTAGCAAGTTCGACTCAACAAAAACCGACGCAGGAGGAATCCAGAAGTTTTATAAAAAGTATTACCATGGTCTGTGGAAGTTTCATTGAAAAAAAAAAGTTAATATCTGTGGTTACAGATAATGAATAAAACTTCTTATCACTTGCAAAATTTTTACCTAATTTTTTCCATATTTTCCTTTAAACTGTTAATCTGTGTATTATAATCGAAAACTTCTCCATACACACTATCCGAAGACCTCGATTTAGTAACCCCGTAGGCTTTTAAGTTGGTTCCGACATCATTTTTTTCAGACTCTCCTTTAATTTTCCAATATTCGGGCGACGCCCCATAGTGAGTCATTTCACTGCGACATCTCTCCACGGGCTGCTTCGCACTTAAAAGTTCGGAAGCAACCGAGGAACGGCTGTTGTAGACCACTGCAATCGAGATTTTTTTACTACTATGAAAGTCATCCCCAACTCACTTACAACGTTCAGCGACGGCTTGGGATTCCAATTTTGAATTCAAATGTGGTTTTTTTTATTATTGCCTGAGAGAAAATTTTGATATAAATCCGCATTTCGGCAAAGAGTTTATGTTCCTTTCACATTATTTGATAATCGACAGTTTGCTTTGGCACACGCGTTGCACGCAAACCATTTAAAAAATTTGAAGTTGTGGAGTTCTATTAAACTTTCTTAGTCGCTGCTTACCAGCGATTCAAAATTATTTGCAAAATATAGAATATTACAACAATTTTTTTGGTTGCCGTGATGATTTCTGATAAATAGAAGCATTTTTTGGCTTTAAAGAAAATAATCTGTCAATTCTGGTGAAACTATATGCTTATATACGTTATATAAGCTTAATGTTTCTATGCAGGATGTTCAGGGGAAAGTTTTTTTTGACCATTTAATACTTGCGAAAAGTAAGTCAAATCTCTCTTACTTTATTAAATACAAGTTAATGTGTTAAAAACTCGTAATTCCATTTGGTCAAATGGGATTCATTTTCGAAGCTTAATTTAAATTGAAAAGTTTTATAAATTTGTGCTTCTCATTAATACAAAAACAAAAGAAAATTTGGCAACACTGCAAAAGTTCTGGATGGGTATAGAAAAAGGCAAATTTTGTTATAATTTAGCGGTGGTATCACTTTCAACCCTGTATATGGAAAGATAAGTTCATCAACGAACGATTCATGTCAAATAAGTAAAATCACCACTAGAATTCGGTTTTGTTTCCTGTACACCCTTTATTGTGACCTAATTGAAACTCATCGCAGAAAAATATTATAAAAATATTCTTTTATTCCTGCGGCATACATCAGCTACTATCTTCATTCTACGGTTTCACTCACCGGAAAAGTCAATGAGTTTTTTAGGACTAGACTCCGCGGACAAACTGTTAAGCCGGCCCCTATTCAATCTGCTAAATTCGTTTAAGCTTTTCCGCGATTGTTCGGCTTCAAAATGAATCGCTTGATCCAATTTAGGAACCAGATAAGTCCCGGACTCGGTCAGAGTGACGTATTCTGGTAAATGTTTTTCGTATAACTCGGCAGTTATGGAGGATCTGCGTCCGTATTTAGCGGAACTAGTGTGTTTTTGGCTAAAAATATAAGTCTGTTTATCTTTAAGGTTACCTACCGGGTAGCTCGTTTATTATTACCTCAGAATCTGTAAAAATATCAATAAAAATATTTCAAGACAAAATTTGTTTAAATTTACTTATAGTTTTAAAATTTTAAACTGAATTATATATAAGCGGACTAGTACTAACTTTCTTGTTTTAAATAAAACACTCTGTAAATTAAAGCATTTTTTAAATCCTTCGAAATTTGGAGACGTATTCTGAATGATGTATGTTTGAAGGTCTAAGTATATCTATCGATTTCTCCAACCGAAAGCCTTTGTCGTATATTTGGGGTCGATTTTCTTATAGAAGGGGAACTGTGTGGTTAAAAAATAAATAAATACAGGTTTACCAAAAACTAATACTAAAAATTTAAATGAAATTTTTTTCATCGTATTCCAGAAAAGCATGGCTTTGTTCAAGGTTGTCTGTTTGAAAAACTATGTGTATTTCGAAATATTAGGAAAAAAACGTGTTTTCCTCGTAAAAGTGATATTAGGACCAAATATGGCGAAAAAATCAATCGAGAACTACAGAAATTTAACTTAATAATTTCGAAAGGTATAAAAATGAGCTCATCTTTAGGTTCTTCTAAAAAGAAGCCTAAATAATAGAGGAAGTACTAATAGTAAATAAATCAAATTAAAAAGATAGATTATTATTTGCAATTTTCAGAAACTAATATATTAAATGAGATTTTCTACCAAATGTTTCCAGGAATTGCCGAATGCTAGTGCTCGTATGATTTCTGTTATTCTCTTTCTATTCATGCATTGTTTCCTGTAGGTTATTGTCCATCAGGATATTTTTCGGAAAATGACAAAATGTTTTTGATAGAGTTTGTTTAATTCACAGAAATTAAGAATATTTAAATAACTTTTGCGTTAAGAACTTAATTAATGAGCATGATTTATAGGTCATAAAAATTGTGTCTGTCCTTATCGAACATATTTTTTATAGTTTCTGGGAATAATAAACGGGCCACCACCAGTGCGTTATAAACTAATCGCACTTTTCGTTTATCACTTCAATTTTGCCCTGCAAGTGAGGAATCCGATGAGGAATCTCGGAACTGCTCAGTGACGCACCGAATGGGTCCGGAAATATTTTTATCGACGAGTCTGGAGCGGAAGTCTCCTTTGAAACAGCACTAAAAATACGATTCGCAATAGTCAAACAAATTATTAATTAAATCAATATAATCGATGTGTACGGTGTCGTAAACTGCAGTCGTCGTATACAGGACGTTTCATGTACTACTAAAAGTGCTGGGGAACTAGCAAAGAAAATTTATAAAATATCTAACCTCGATATTTGAAATACTTTTATCAATTACCAACTTTACAAGATCGATCCCAACGTTCAAACTTGCAATAGAGTGCTCCATATTTTATTGCAGATTTGCTAGCATCTACCTAACTCTAGTATCTCTTACAGCTTTTTGGAAAAAAATGTTATATAATATATAATTTGTCCATAACTTAGCCAGAAACGCCATTTTTTCTAGCTCAGATAATGCATAATTTCAAAACTTCAACTTTTCATGAAACTTAAAAATGCTGCTGATGCCTCACCGTGCACTTTTTTAAACCTTCGAGTAGACCAGTAACTAATCCACAATTTAAACCAATTTTCAGGCTAATTTCATTTAGGTTAAGACAATCAACACAGAATACTCAACAAGAAAGTAAGCCATACCGTAAGTCTACAATAATATAAAAATAAAAATGGCCCTAATCACTCATTAATGATAAATAACTGCAGGAAAGGCGAAAGAAAACTAGTAGGATTGTGATAGGAAACATGTCTGGAAATTTACTGTGTTTACTGTTGACCTCATAAAAAACGTTTTTTTTTTCAGATGATTTCAGAAACGGTTTAAGATACTGAAATAAAATACTTATTTGCAAATTATATTAGGTGCGGGAGCGTCGCTAAAAGGGAGTACCACATTTTATTACGAAGATACTTTTAATTTTTTGACCGTTGTTCAAACTCGAAAAAGTTACTGGTTTATTTATTTCATTTAGAACTAATCGGACCCTGCGCCCAATGTTATTAAAATATAGGGAGTTTCATTTGAAACTGCGGAGTCAACATTGGTGTCGAATAGACCTGTCAACGATGCATTTGTGAAGGACATTAATCGTTCATCCTATATATTATCGCTGGTGAAGTATCCAAATCGTTTTATTTCTCGGTTAATTTATACTCTCCTAACTTACATTACCTTGTTATATCCTCCAACCATTTTGGCAGATTTTTTTCTGTTCCGGACTCAATTCTCGACGCGCTTCTCGATCTGATCGGACCCGAACGCTTATCCCGGTTACCGTAGCTCATGTTCCGTAAAGATTTTGCCGCATTTAACGCTCCAATTTGATAGTTACGTTGCCGAAAAATGACGGGCTTTCGTACGCGCGGGTATTTTGTTTGTTGTCGTTGCGGTTGTCATGACAACGGAGACGATAGGACCAGGTCCGTATTGGTACGAGGTTATCAGTGCATTCCATTGTCCTCCATGCATAATACTTAATTGTTAAATATTTGGGCCGTGCTGTCAGCTTGACCATTAATTTTAAAGGTTAAATTTCAAAATTCTATTCGAAAACAGTGTGTGCGGGCGGAGAATCCCATAAAAGATAAGGTTGATTCGTTGAACTTTGCCTTTCTTTTTTCAGCAGCTAGGGGCATAACTACTGTTGTAAAATAGAACAGTTTAGGTGTACAGTGACTCACAGCTTAAATGATGTAGTCGGTATAACAAAAACTAACTGGTTTGAATGTCACTTTATTTATTTGAAACAATTAAGTTAGTAAGGAGCCTTCTAAAAAAGTGTGAATTACTTTTTGTCTTAAATATGCCTTACTTAGTTAACAATAAAGAATTAACTAAATTATATACAGTAGTAACGTCACAGCTTAAATGATGCAAGACGCAATATAACCAAATCAATAAAGAAAAACAACTGCATAATTTGAAATACTCCTGCTAATATTTAGTCGGGCCTTCCTCATTATCGATAACGGCTTGTAGTGTCCTCGGTATTGATTAAACTTATTTTGTAGTATACCCCATTGTGTTCCATACTTCAGTAATTTTTACTTTTAATTCATTCTTGTTAGATATTTAGTTTCTTTTTTAATGTCAACCACAAATTTTCAATTATATTTAAGACTGGTGACTGACAGTTATAAAGCAACCAACTGTGGACCCGAAATGACGTGTGCTTTGGATCATTGTCATGATAAAAGCGATAATTGTTATCCATATTTAATTTTTGAGCACTAACTAACCAAATGCTGTCTTAATATATCCAAATACCCATATTGGTTCATATTTCCTTCAATGAAATGCATGTTGCCTACTCCTGCAGGTGACACAACAACACTCCACCTCCACGGTGTTTTACCGTAGCTTTTACATTTTTCAATTTTAATTCTTCTTTAGGCTTTCTTCATACTGATATTTTTCCATCCGATCCAAATAAGTTTATTTTCGTCTCATCGGTAAATATTACTGAATTGCAGAAGTTCAAATCCTTATCAATATACTCCCTAGCGAATGCCAATCTGACGCGTCTATTTCTTCGGCTCATGAAAGGCTTATTTCTGGCACCATGTAAATTATTTTTGCGCAGCATTCGTCGAATTTTTTCGGGGTTACACCTATTTCCAAACTGTCTTTCCACCTCGACACACATCTTGGGAGCAATTTTTTTTTTTGATAATTCGATACCTCTCTTACAACCCATCCTCAGGTTCATTGAAGATCTTATTTGGAGCTAACCTTGACTTATTCTCGAACCTATTTTTGTTACAGTAACGCTCAATGATATGTTGAACAGTTGACGGACATTTATTTACCATTTTGGCAATGTCTCTTTGGCTGTATCCATTTCTATGATGAGTAATAATTAAATTGCTCTCTCAGAAATTGTAATCCGACTACCCATTTTTAAAATAATTCGTTTTACTAAACGAAAACGTGTTTTAAAATGTCAAACTACACAAAAAACGATTACAGTAATAAATCAAAGATACGCGTTTGTAAATTTCGATAAATTTTGATCCCTGTTATTATTTTTGCATAATTTAAGCTGTGACGTTAATATTGCATATAATTTAATTAATTCTTTATTATTAACTAAGGCATATTAAAGACAACAAGTAATTCACACTTTTCTAGAAGGCTCTTTACTAATTTAATTTCAATAAGCTGTTTCTGCCAAATAAATTAAGAGACATTCAGACCAGTTAGTTTTTGTTATAGCGACTGCATCATTTAAGCTGTGAGTCACTGTATGTTACTTTTGCCGCAAGCGGAGCGTGTTTAATAAGCGAGCGTCTGAAGTTTATTAAATTAAATTATTAATTAATATTTAAATTAAATTTCTCCCCCCGACTTGCAGTATCCTTTATACGCGCGCTATCCCAAAATTTTGGTTGCTGTTTGAAATGTAATTTAGAAATATATAGTGATACATATTTTTTTAAATTCACAATTTTACACCATTTTTTCAAAATGAAGTTTTTTTTTACGTCAAACACAAAATACTCTCATATCGACAATGTACCCTTGGGGCACAAATTTTGGTATTAATTCATATTTTTGCCTGCATGTTTTTCCAAATAATTGAAAAACATATAAAAGTACTTCATTCACAAGTTGGGAGCAACTCGATATGTTCGGAAGATTTAAAACCAGGTTTTTTGACATTTATCAGTTCTGATGGTTACATCACAGGTTAATTAATATAATTTTAATAACGGAGGATTTTAGTCCAATAAGAATAGTCTTAAAGGTACCACCACCTACTGGTTAGTGATAAATCAACGTCTTGTCGCAGTTGGTTTAGCAATGTGTCCCTGGAATTACAACCTTATTATAAAGAATGGTGGAAGATTGAGTGTCCTATTAAATCAAATTTGGTATAGTAGATGGTTTTGTATATAAATATTTTTGCAAGTATAGCGAGACCAAAGGCAACCTGTAACTAAAATTCCAATGTTACGTATGGGTTGTACTAAAAGTATATATTGTCATCTACCTACTTCTACCCCTTCAAACATACTGTTATTACGAATAAACTGTTTTCGTCGAGGGTATTTGTTTACGTCGCTAGGTATAGAAAGATATTCTCCCAACACGCCTTAAGCGTGCAAATTTCTAACTATTTCTTTTAAGTTAAATGAGTTTTCTTATAAACAAGATGTTGATTGATTTATTTCTACCTTGGAGGCCCACCGGCTAATGATCTTTTATAAAAGGAACGTTTGCTGACGCGATCACTTGTTGACCTAATTACGTGTTTCGGTAAATGAGTAGGGTGCGTGTAAAATGTATCCAGACCACGTTTTGAAACATTAATTAAACGAGACAGCTTATATGGATCTCTCATACATCTATTAGATAATATACTCAATGCCGTATACGAATAAATGTTAATAATGTCAATGTAATTAGTGATAACATAATAGCAAATGAATTCGGACAATTGTTTGCCACTCACGTGCAGTCGAAGACCGATACTATGTTCACTAAAGATGAAACTGGTACTCTTCCAACCACCAAGGCAAAGAGTATGTTTTTCATGCCATACACCGATAGACAGGTGCTAACCTTAATTCAATCACTCGAAAACAAGCGATCTGTTGGAATCGATGAAATACCTATACAATTCATAAAAACCTGTGGAGATGTTTTAGCTCCATATTTAACTACTATTATCAATACATCCGTTCTCTGCGGGCAGTTCCCTGCGGCATTGAAAAAATCAAAAATGATTCCTGTATTCAAAAAGTGAGACTCTGAGCTAATTGAGAATTATAGGCCTATAACAATCGCAGGTTGGTTCTCCAAAGTACTCGAAAAGGCCATGTACGACAGAATGACACATTTTTTGGAGCAAGAAAACATATCGAATGTGCAGTATGGGTTCCGTGTTGGTTACTCATGGGAAACGGGGATTAATGACCTTGTCCAGTATATCTACGACAAACTCGACATGGGTGAGACAGTTGTGGGAGTGTTTTTCGATTCCTTAGATCTGAATATCATGGCAAAAAAACTAGAATGCCTGGGGTTTCGAGGTAATATCAATAGTTGGATAATATCATATATGAAACACACGGAAATAAGGGTCAAAGTGAATGGAATATACTCGGAACCGTTCAACGTCAACTTAGGCACGCCCCAGGGAGGAATCTGGGGTCCACTACTTTTTCTTCTGAATGTGAATGACCTTCCTGAGTTCCTCAATAGCAACTGCCGCGTTTTGATGTACGCGGATGACACATCCATCTTCGTCTCCGGAAGGGAAGCTCAGGAGCTGATCAATAGGTTTTCTTGTGTTGTGGCACAGTTTGTTGATTTTTGCAAACAGAACCATTTGATTATAAATTTGGAAAAAACAGTTGCGATCGAATTCACTGGTCAGTATGTTAAACCTCTGACTAACCTAGCGTTGAGCTTTGCGGGTTCACGCGTGGAATTAAACCACACATCAAAGTTTCTCGGATCTTACATCAATGCCTTCCTAAAGTAGGACTACGACATAGATAGTATTTGTAATAAACTGAACAAAACGTTTTTCGCAATGTTAACAATCAGAGATTCTTTCTTTAAAAGATCCTTGTTGACTTTCTATTACGCCTCAGCATACTCATATGCATATAATATCGTAAACTGGGGAGAGGGTGTTCATTCAGCAAAAAAGGATACTTAGGTTAATTTGCAGACTGCCCCCGAGGCTATCCTGCAAAGATATAAGATATAAAATACTAACAGTGCTTTGCATATATTTATTTAAATTATTCATCATCGTTCATAAAAATAAAGGCTCTCACAAGAAACACACGGATGTCCGCGGTTATAAACCCGAAACAGAGAACACCTTCTAAAGACTGAACCACATGCTCTACAAAAAGTCGCTAAATTACGCAGGACCTTATTACTATAATTTGTTTCCTACAAGCATAAAAGCATTATCTACAAGACAATTTAAAAAGTGCATCAGAAAGCTTCTGTCAACCAATGCTTTCTACGACTTGAAAGAATTTGAAACATATATTACAGGAGTGCCCTGATGAGTTTAGTGATATTTTCTCTACATTTTGTCAATATGTTTGTACTGTTTGTATATCCGTTTGTAACTATTCTATACTGTACTGTTAAATGAGTGTTATCATATTGTTTATATATACTCTATAATGTACTCGTTTCCTGACGAAACATCCACTGTATACATACTGGGCTTTGTGAATAAAACTATCTATCTATCTAAAGTGGCCCTAATACGAATTGACGAACTGTCATCTGCCATGTTAGTTACTGAACGTTGCTAGGTCTAATTGGTTGAAAACAAGAAAGATTTCCAAATACCGTGCATGCTCATATTAAATGTTCCATCTACATATTTATATTATAATAGTTTTTTTCATCGTTGCTTCAAA